TTTTTGCTTACCACACCGAAAGAAAAAAAAGTAGTAACTGAGGTTATGAATATGAAGATTGACTGTGGTGATTATTTTACAGTGTATATCAAATCATCAGATTACACAATTTAAATATATTCAGTCTTGATTTATTGAATATACCCAAATTTAGACAAAATTCTTTAAATTAAATAAACATATGGTCAAGGCCATTATTTAAAAGTAATCTTATATTCCCAAATGTTTCAGTCTTGATTTATTGAATATACCCAAATTTAGACAAAATTCTTTAAATTAAATAAACATATGGTCAAAAAAGGCCATTATTTAAAAGTAATCTTATATCCCCAAATGTAAACACATAAAGGTGGAGCTGCCCTGGTTTTGGGGAAGACCTCTACAGGAAACTGAGGCAACTTTGAATACCATTGGACAATCTCTAAATGCCTTCCCAGGTCTGAGGTACTGGAAGTAGTTACTATATAAATGTATCATCATTCACCTAAATTTTTAGATGACACTTTAATTCTGTCCCTTGAACTTCACATACCAATTTCTTAAAATTATTTATGATAGTAAATGGAATTAAATATTTTCTTTCCACTAATAGGAATGTAAACTTTTCTTTTTTTTTTTTTAACTTAAGTCAAATGTAGTTTGGACTAAATACTTTATAAGGAAAATCATATAACTTATTGTCCAGATATGATTTGTCAAGAAAAAGATATTTGCTTAATATGATATCCTCCTGGCTCATCCATGTAATCACAAATGATAGAACTTCATTCTTGGTTATGGCTGAATGGTATTTCATCATGTATACATATATGCCCCATTTTATTTATTCATTTGTCCTTTGATGGACTTTTAGGTTGATTTTTTATTGTGACTATTATGAATAATGCTGTAGTAACCACAGGAGTTCAGATATCGCTTTAATATATTGCTTTTGTTTCCTGTGGATATGTACCCAGTAGTGGCACTGTTGGGTCATGTGGCAGTTCAGTTATTAACTCTATGAAGAATATCCATACTGTTTTCCATAGTGTCTGTAGTAATTTATATTTCCAGCCGCATTATATAAGAATTCCCCTTTTGTTATATGTGTGGTGGCATTTGTTATTTTTTGTCTTTTGGATAGTAGCCATTTTAATTGGGATGATGTCTTATCTTACTGTGGTTTTCATTTGCATTTCTGTGATGATTAGTGATGTTGTGTTTTTCATGTTTGTTGATAATTTATATACATATGGGTATATATATGTATATGTAAATAATATATACGGTCCATATACTAGTATAATAGTCTTCTTTTGAAGCCTATTCTTTTGTCCATTTTCAAATGGGATGATACGATTATTATTTTGCTGTTTAATTGTTTGAGATCTCTATGTATATGGATAGCAACTTCTTCTCAGATGCATAATTGGCAAATATTTTTTCCCATACTGTAGGTTGTCTTTTTATTGTGTTGATGATTTCCTTTGCTGTGCCGAGCTTTTTGGTTTGGTTTAATCCAATAACTATCTTCACTTTTGTTGCTTGTGCTTTGGGATCCAAAAAAATTATTTGTCCTAATCAATGTCATGAAGTTTTTTCCCTATATATTTTCAGTAGTTTTATTAGTTCAGACTTTACGTTCAAGTCTTTGATCCACTTAGAATTGTTTTTTGTTATGTGGTGAGAGGTTGGGCATTTAGCACCTTTTTTCTGCATGTGGATATTTAGTTTTCCCAGAACAATTTCTTGAAGAGACTGTCTTTTCCCCATTGTATGTTCTTGTCACTTTTGTCAAAAAATCAGCTGGCTTTGGGTGTGTGGGTTTATTTCTGTATTCTCTGTTCTGATCCATTGGCCTATGTGTCTATTTTTATATCAGTACCATGCTGTTTTGGCTATTATATAGCTTATAGTATAATCAAAGTCTAATAGTATGATACCTGACTTCAAAATACACTGCAAAAGAAATAAACCAGGCATAGAAGAACAAATCCTGCATGATCTTACTCATACATGAAATCTAAAGAAGTTTATCTCATAGAAGTAGAAAGAATAGTGGTTACCAGAGCCTGGGAGGAGTGAGTAGAACTGGAGATATAGAGAGATATTGGACATGGGTACAAACTTATAGTTAGTTAGATAGAATAAATCTCGATTCTGTTGCACAGTAGGGTAACTATGGTTCTAGTTTGTATAATTCAAAATAACTAAAAGAGATGATTTTGAATATTTTCACTACAAAGAAATGGTGTTTGAGGTAGTGAATATTCTAAATACTCTGACTTAATTATTATACAGTATATACATGTTTTTAAAAAGTTATCTAAATTATGAATCATTTAATTAGATCATTTTAACTGAATATGTTTAATTTAATTTAAAATTACTTTTTTAAAATTACTTTTTGAATTATTAAATTTTTTTAGTGTATTTTCCTACTCCATCACTGAGACAAAGAGACACAGAGAGAGAAGAGAAAAGATAGGATACCCTCAAGAGAGTCTTGACCCTGCAGTCCAGCCACAGTCCAGCCTCAGACAGCCTGGAACATAGGCACATATCAGGGAGGTCTCTGATTTGAACTGGTAACTCTATGTATGTCTGCCTCACAGAGCATTAAGTTTTATGCCTGTGCTATCCTCTGGTCCCAAATATGTATTAATAAAAGTAATATGGGTGGGACCAGCAGTTAGCATAATGGCTATGTCGCTGGACTGCCATGTGGTCGACCACAGTTTGCGTCCTGGACGTGGTGGCTTAAAACTCACGCTGGGTGCATGTGTGTGCGTGCCCAAGATCCCGAGAGGAGAATGGAGGAGAAGGGATTGCAGCATGGCCATCCCCCCGGGGGGTTGATTTCTCGCTTTCTGTCTCTATGTCTGTCTGTCTGGCGAGTGCACGTGCCCTGTAGCAAAAAACCTCTCAAAAAAAAAAAAAAAAGTAATATGGATCAGTTTAAAACTAAGCAAAGAAAGGAAGGATATTCTATAAAAGTTAATCTATGAAATAAGATCAATTCAGTAGTGGGTTATCTGATGAAAGGTTTCACAGGTTTCTTCATTTCCACTGAAACTCTGTGTTCCTCTGTTGACTTCTCTCCACCCAATACTCGGGTTTACCAAGAATCCTCCATCAATCTAGTTGTTATGTGAACCTTGAAATGATCTTTTTGTTTGTTTGTTTGTTTTTTAATTCTTCTGTGTTGTTACTGATACCTTAGGAATGACATGTTCCTTGCTGTTCTAGTTTATCAAAGGTAGGAGAGCTTCTGTGACTAGTTGATTATCACTTCTGGGTTTGTATTTGTGCATAGTTAGATGCTAGCTAGCATCCCAACTTGAGATACAGAATTTCTCATATAGAAATGATGTCATAAATGTATACTGGAGACCACACGACTTTTATACTATCTACTGTAGTTCATTTACTTTGTAGGTGAATGGCACCGTGTCCAGGGATCCATCAACTGTTACAATTGCTATTTCTGTAGAAAAGTCAGGTCAGGTCTGTATTTCAGGCAGTTGATGTATCAATGAATGTAACACGTTCGTAGTTCAGTACTGACCACTTTTATTGATTGATCGACAGGTGCATATATTCAATAGTTCTGCAACTATAAGGAAGCACCAATATTTTATTTTTTTGAAATGAAGTTGGAATTAGCCTGAAAGACTGAAAGAGAAGACAAATGGCTTTGTGTGTGTGTTTTTTATTTTTTGACTTTTGGACATAGTCAGAACTGGATGTGATAAAATTGATAGGTGGTACTAAGATCACATTTGGAATAGTGAAATGGACAATTACTTGATATAAATAGCAAATAAAAAAATCAAGCCAGTCCTTCATAAAAATTTTATTCTGGGGTGTGCTTGTTTTCCGAAACTACCTCTACTAAATCTCCTGTCAGTCCTGAAACTAGAAGGCAGAAAAGCTTCTAGTGCTACAGCCAACTGCAGTGTAGCCAAAGAAACAGGCAACAAAAATAGAACACCAGGATTGCTGTGCGTGGGAGAGGCAGAAACCACATTATGAGCAAAAGCTTCCAGTATTATTTTAGAACCAATACAGAGCTCTGCACTTCGCTCTTCTCTCTTCCAAAAACACATACTACAAAAATAAAATGAAATTAAATGTATGTGCATTTGCCCTCTTAGAATTATGATTCTTATTTTTTTTTTCTTTTCTTCCTTTCTTTGGAAGCAAATCACCAGGATAAAAACAGTGTGTAGAGCAAGCTTGGAGAGAGGAAAGAGTTAATTGCTTTTAAGGCCCTTGCAATAGAGAATTATGGTTTGAAAGATAGAGGCTGGACAGCTGGGTTTGCTGGGGTATTTTTAAATGCATTAATGCAGGCTCCAATCACTCGGCCATGCTTGACCTATTTTTGGCTCAGGCCGACCATTGTTCTATTTCTGTGCCTGTGGGCCATGCTGTTGTTGATTCATATGCAAATGGATTATCACTAGCTTTAGCCAACTTGAGCTGAGAGAGACTGAGAAAGGGGGAAGAAAGACACACAAACAGATAGGAGAAGGGTACCGGCTAGAGCCACTTGCAAGACGAAGCGATCTTGCAGGGAAACCCTAGCAGCCTGAAGAACTATAAGCCAGGTTTAATTGGTTTCTTTTTCTCGTGGGTAGAATTAATATTTTTCTACTTCTTCTGACAAAGAAATAACCCCGAAGCACATTCCTATTTCCCACCTGCTTTTAGTTTCCGGGATAACCTAAACTCCAGAGAGCTATAGCATCCACTCTGTCCTTTCTGCTTTGCACACAGGTTGGTAATGTGGGGAAGGTGTCCAGGTCTTTTGAAAAAGTGTATGTCCATCTGAGCAGAAAGGACATCGTTGTCGAAGTTGATCCTCTGTTGCTTCTCCTCCGGGTGGCGGGAGGACTAGCCGGGGTAGCTCCTGGGGCCGGTGCACTGAGCAGTGATGAATCTTTCATGGAGCTGAAGTAAGAGTGATTGGAATATGCTGCAGACAATTTACGAGAGTGACTCCTGTTTTTCCTCAGATGGGGTGGCTGGACGGGAGCAGCTCTTGGCTCAGCAAAGAATGCACAGTATGATCAGCTCAGGTAAGATCTTCTCTTATCACGGAGATGTTTTATGTCTGAAAGGGGCTGGTATGGGAAATACAGCTAAGAAAAGCACCTCTCTTAAGGAATTACTGCTTTTTCGTGTTGATGTTGCTATTTTCTTGGTGCGTCTGTAGGGTTTAACTTAGATCCCTTCCATTACTGTTTCTGTGCATATTCAGAGTCTGTTCAGGGACGGCTGCTACTGAATGAAATTGCAAACTATTGCTTCTGATGGAAGATGAGACAGAGATAAGTAAAATGTAGTTATGGGTGTTTTTCTGCCTTGCTATACAGCTAGAAATAAAAGAGATCTGTCCTGATCATTAAGAGTATTCTAATAGGACTTTAAAAATCAGGTAAGTTCATACTGGGGCTTCAGTTTAAATTGCAGTCCCGGCTCGCCTGATGATTTTGTATTTACAGTGTGCATACAGAAGCGCATCTATTTATAGACCTACCTTCTGAAATGTGTTTGCTGCAGAGTTGTAAAGGTAGTTTTATTCTTTTCCTAATGTGGCTTTTTTCATCAGCCCCCAAATGAAACTGTTTAGGGTGAAACAAAATTATTATTAGCAGATACTTATTTTCATTTTCTTCAAAAACATTTGGGAAGTCTAGCCTTGTCAGGCAGATGCGACAGCATGACACACATATAAATGTGTTAAAAGCAGGTGCAGTGTTTTAACGGATAGCAGAACAGATCCCAGTTTCTCGTTTCTCTGTGTTCTCTGTGTACGTGCTCATGCCCTCAAGGAGCTGTGCCGATGGGAGATGGAGATTGTCAGCTTTATCAGTTTGTATTTGTTCAAAAGGTGCTCTCCGGGCAATGTCATCCTTGAATGATTGCTTTTCATTTTTATTTCCTATCAGTTCCTAAAGCTTTTGGGACTCTGTCTTCTTCTGAAGGTATCAGTTTAAATTGGCTTAAAGTTCTCCCTTAGATCTTCTAAGTTTCCACCTAGGCTAAATGGTAATTATAGTTTACTGCCTAGATTTCCATGATAAGACGGCAACATAAGCAGTGTTTACTTAGGAGAGCTAGGTGCGAAAGAAATATTCCACAGGTTGGCATGATGTCTGTTTTGGTGTTGATACACCTTCCCATCTGTGAATCTATGAAGCAAGTTTTCCTGAAACCTCGGTTGGTTATGATGATTTTAATAAGATCCTTCTGTTGACCCAATCTTTTCATGAAATCAGAATAAAATATCAATCTTGTACAACTTGGTGTTTATATACTTGACTGACAGGAATTATATTAATTGGTAGGATATACTTAACAAAAGCAAACCTACCAGAATTTCAGTGAGGTTTATTTATTAGCGTGGCTGTTAAGCTGAGAAGAGCTTGGAGAGGGGTCCCCTTGTATGTCTCTGATGAAACTGGTCCCTTAAATTAGCATTTTATTTTTAAAATATGGGCAAATTCTTTGCAAATAGATATCTTTTCAGTACTAAGCTTTCTCCTTGTTCTCGTCTCTGCATTGCATGTTAGATATGTCTCTCCCAGGGTAACGGCATAGCTGTGCCTTACAACCCATAACTGTTTGGGGACCCCAATCAGGCTACAGGTGTTTGCAGGCTTTGCTGTTTCTCCACGCCTTTGATAATCACACACAACTTTACTCCCATTTCAGTTGAGATAGTCATTTCGACATTTAATGATGTTTATACAAAGCAATAGGATTTTCAAACAGCAACATGCTTGAGACTGCCAGTTCTAGAGGAAGCAATATTTAAGCAATAGCTATTAAATGAAAATTGATATAGGTTAACATCAACTCCCAAACCTGTTCAGTCTAAATAATGAAACCCTAAGTTCTAATTATTTTTTAAAATTTGAGACATCAAAACAGTTGTGTCCTTCCTCCTATCTCATGTAATATCTGATTATATTTAAGGTAATATGTTAAATTTATTTCATCCAGTCTTTTCTGTGTACTTTCTATGAGACGCTGGATCTCAAACTTGGAGTCACCAGGAATATTTTACAAAATATGACGCCTGGATTTCACCCCAGAGTTTCTGATTTAATTGTCGTGGCACACAGCATGGACACTGGGGTTTTAAAAATCTCAGCTATTCTAACCTTCTACAAACTGAGAACTGCTGCGGGGGTGGGGAATGGGAATGGTGGCAAACCCCGTCATTGGTAGTTTGTCTTTTGGGCTCTGTTCAGAGTGCATTTGCCTTCATTTATCTACAAATCTTGTTCAGCGCCCTTTTAGATCAGTGGCCTGGATGTGATGAATGGGCATCCAAGAAGAGGGACTCATTGGACTGAAAGGGAGAAAAGATGTCGGGCGGCTGTGCAGCCTGGTGGAGAGAGCGCTGTTCCAGGAGTCAGGAGTTCTGTGTTCTAGGCTGCGCTCTGCAGCCAACGGTTGTATAACTGCTCCACTCACGTTCAAACTAGAATGAGGATGTCCACCTGCTTAACTCCTGGCATTCTTGTGAAGTTCAAATGTCGCAACATGTCTTTCAAGTGTAGTAAAGAATAGTATTATTTTTGCTATTTCTAGTGAATGAAGCTGGGATTCTCACTCTTCGATACTTTGTTCTATCTTATTTAACAAGTCAGATAAATTAGATTTTAGGTCATCAGGGGAAATGATTGTTCGTTAATCAGTTTTCTTTTGTTATCCTATACATAAGCTATTTCTTTGATTATCTTGATCTGCTAAGAATTATGTTCTTTCCTTGTGCAAATTATGACTGCATATCAGAGTAGCTAGTGTGTGTGTGTTCTGTGAAATAATCTCACTACCTAATAATCATAGGAAAAGAAGTTGCAGAATTTCTGATAGAATAGTGAAACTCCAATGGCAGATTCCTGGAGTTAAATTACTTTTTAAAAAAGCTTGATTTTACGTGTAATTGTCTTTAGTGATTGCTTTAGAGTTGCCTTTTGATATACTAGTTATATTGGATATTATGCTTTAGGCAGCATATTTTGCTCAGAGTTCTTCATATATTAAAGGGTTGTAAAAGTTTTATATCATTTCATGTTTTTCTACTGTTACCTTAGCCAAGCTAGACATCTTTGGTAGAACTAGGTTCTACAAGGGGTCATCATCAAGTTTATGGAAAATGAATATTATGAAAAAAAATACTATACATTATATTTTGGTATTAACATAAACTCGTACTTTAAGTCCAGTTTTCCATAAGCTCTTTGAAGTTCCCTAATATAATGTAGTTTTCTAATGAATTTTTAGTTAAGAGTTGCTATCATATTGAATTTTGGAGTTCAGTGTGAGTGACACACTTAGCCAAGTACCTCTCCCCTTTTGAGGCGTGTGTAAGTGCTCGCTGTGGCAGAAACTGAACCATGTGCAAACATTGACTTGGGTCACTCAGCAAGAGCTGGCAGAGGTAGAGTTCTTCTGTTGGCAGGAGATGTTGGTGTTTCATACACTGGACAACAGAGCTGTCCAGACAGTATTAGAACAATTATTATGAAGAAATTTCTTAGAGTTTGTACAGAATTAAGGTAAAATACATTTCCAGTAAGGGAAATTCATATTTTTACCCCGTATTTTTCTTACTTTAGGGCTTAAAAGAAAAACATTTACATCTAAATCCTTTTTTTTTTTTTAATATATAATATGTATCTTCACCCTTGCCGAATCCTTTTGTTCCTTGGTGTGTCGTGTTGAGAGGAAGGGAGCATTTTAGATTCAGTAGTCACTTATGTCTTCTTGAAAAGCAGAATCTAATTATGAAAATGTAAGTCTGTGAAATGCTCCTGTCATGTCAAGAATCACTTCTAGTATTCTCCATAATTACTGTTTTGCCATTTTCTAACTTAGGTTATCTTTACGTGTAAGTCTGTTATCAATTGGGATGATTAATAGGTATCAATCAAATTGCTAGTTATAAATAAGCCCATTGAGAATGTGGACAAAGATGAGTATTTTAGGTTTCTGAAGTTGACACAGTTGGCATAATTATGACTATGTCCAGTAAGATACTTCAATGAAACACCTCAAAAGACTGAAATGAACCCAAATTTTACATTAAAAATAAGTGTACTAAATGGTGATTTATATTTTGGAGATAAATTCAAAAATGTGTCACATAATTTCTCACCTCTTATAGATAATGAAGTTAGCCAGAATAGTGTAAGCCAGCAAATAAACATCCCCTCCCTCTTTACCACAGTATCCGATAGTATAACTGAGCAAAGAAAATATCACCTAATGAAATATAACTCAGAAACAAATAGCTTAGGAAAAAAAAAATGTAAGGAGGGTTCTTTGATGGGAAGGGAGAGATTTGTCTCCTGGACCTTCTTACAGTTTTACTGGCACATGGACAACTTCCTGAGAATTCTCATTAACATTCCCAAAACTGGAGAGAAGCAAATTGAACAGGCACATTCCACCCTTTTTGGTTGGTATTGTTTTCTCTTATGACTGAGGAATAGTAGAATGGATTCTGGGAGAGAAACTGGCAAAATGGAGAATAATAAACATTACCTCTCTGGAGAAATAAAAGCTCCAGAGCAACATGCTAAATTGGAAAAATGATTTATAGCAATGTGGAACGAGGTACCTTACTTTAAGTAATCTCAGAGACCCTACCAGGAAGGAAAACTTAAATTAACGAACCGATGGAATTATCTAATAATTGCCTGTCATAAATATGGAACCTTAATAAGAATACAAGTTCCATAAAACAAAAAACTCAAAGGTGGGGTGATAGAACAAGAGAATACGATGAAAAAGATTTTAGATAGAAGGAAATGAAATGATAACAAACATGATGATTATAAGACAAAAATATTCATAGAAATAACAAGAAAAAGGATAAACTCTACTGAAACATTTTACCAACAAAGAGGAGAGACTTGAAAAAATCCGAGTGAATAAGAAAGGAAAATGGATTAATGCAATTATAGAAAAGGCAGTAAGTTTGAAAGACAAAGGTAATCTAACACAAAGAGTAGTGTTCTGTGAGTTCATATTCTAAAAAAAGGAGACAAGATATAATTTA